ATTCGTAAATACGAGTTAACTCCTAGGATACTTAGAAATTAAGTTAAGTAATTTCTAATCCTATAGAATAGAATGGCGTTTTATAGAATCTTCCGTAAGGCTTAAGTATAGCCTTACTAAATAGATACTACGTGATCCTAGCTTATATAAGCCTAATTACGTAACTAGGCGTTAATAGGGTATCGCTTAGTCTTAATAGTCTAATACTTAGCCTTCTAAGTCTATTAAGACTAAAGAAACTAAATAGGAATTCTACGCTAATCTAAATAGTAGGAGCTAAGATAGAATACGAAATTTAAAGAATCTTTTAAGGAAATTAAGTCTTAAAGAAAGTATTAATAAATCGAGTCTTTTAAAGCTATTTAATTAAAAGCTTAACGATAATATAGAAAGTTCTATAGAAGTTAATAGTTAAGTAGATAGAAAGAAGAATTAATAACGACGAATTAATAACGAAGAAGAAGAATTAATTAATAATAACGAGAAGAATATATTTACGAGTTTTTCTAGGCTCTAGCTTATTAGTATTACTTTAGAACTATATATAAGTATAGTTAATTATAAAGTAAAGAGTAAGAATAAAAGTAGAATAGTTAACGAGCTTAGATAGATATTCTATAAATTTACGATAATAATTACGCTTTCCTATATTAATCTACGAAGCGATATAGAATACTAAATAATAATCTAAGTAAGTCTAAATAACTACTATAATAAGTATAGTAATTTAAACTAGAAGATTCGTAGTAGAAATATACGATACGAAGATTAAAGTCTTTAGATTAAGAACCTAGGTACTCTAGAAATTAGAAGATAGAAAACTAGATAGCTAAACGATTCTATTATAGTAATAGCTATTATCGCTATTAGAAGATATAGTAATACCTAAGTCTATATTATACTATACTATATATAGAATATAATTAAATAAGGTAAATATTAAGAACTATAGTATTACGAATTAAACTCGTAGGATATCTTAGTAAGAACTAGCGATATCTAGATTCGACCGTATAGTTATATAGCCGAACGATATTACGTAATATTAATAGATATCTTAGCGAGCGACGCTAAGACTAAACTAGCGATACTTAGATTCGATTATATAGTTATAAAGCCGGACGATATTACGTAATACTAATAGTTACTTAGAATACCGAGCGACCTACCCTAGGAAATTATATCTCCCTATAGATAGCGGTAGGACTTCTTTCTCTCTTCCCTTTAGCTTAACGTCCTTATTAGATAGGTCCTATAGTAGTTAAATAAGCTCCTATTAAAACCCTTATATATAGAGAGAAAATAGAGACTAGACTCGTACTATTATTATTAATAAGAATTTATATTAGTTCTTAATTATCTAGAAACTAACTAAGGAAGAAAGAAGAAGTAAAGTCTTTTATCTCGACTCTATCTATAACTATAAGAAGAAGAATAATAAGAACTTAATTTATTTCTACTCGTTATTAGTTACCGAAGGATATCTACTAGAAGATATTATTATTAGCGATATAAAAAGTAAGAAGTAATAGAATACTAGCGACTATAGGCTATAGATAATAATAAATTTTCGAGTATTCTATTATAGTAAGGATCTATAAATAATATAAATTAATATAGAAACGAAGATAGAAGTAGTAGATATAATTACTAAAGAAGTTAAGAACTAGAAGATAAATCTATTCTTTCGAAGAAGGCTTTTATACTAGGCGAGATAGAGGATTTTAATATATATACTAGGCGAAAGAAGATTATAGTTATCGATTTTAAGAATTTAATTAGGGCTAATATATAATCTATTAGGAGTAAGATTAAAATATAATCGAAGAAGTAACTACTAAAGTAGAAGAGATTAGTATTATAATCCGAGCTATAAGTAGTTCTAATCAAGGTAGGGTTCCTTAATAGAGTAGGTACTAGAGTACTAACTAAGATAATAAAGGGAATACTTATTCGTCGAACTATATCCTAAAACGTAGGTATAGGATTACTAACGAAGTTAACTACGAACTATACTATCTAGGTGAAGGAGCGCGTATATATAATGTTTAAAGTGCTGCTTTAGTGCTTTGCTATATTATTCCAATGCACTAATGTATCAATGTACCCCCTAGTCACGTAATGCAGCCTCGTTCTCCATCGGCCGACCTTCCTTAAACTGTCCCTTGGAACGCGGGGCGCCTGTCCCGGCGACCTCATCCATGACCTGGTCCGTAATAATTAGACTATATAACTATATAGCCGAATAATTTAGAAAATACGAGGTTACCTATAGCCCTCGTTACTAGTTACGTAGTATAACGTTTATTCTATAATAACGTTCCCCTTTTTAGGTCCTTATAGCCGATGGTCTTCGATTTTAATTCGACCTATATTTACCTAATCCCTTATATTCTCCCCTAGAGATTTCAAGTTAGGAGTTCAAAATAGGGTCACCTAGAGAGTGCTAACGTCTACTATACCTATAGGCCAATGGCATTAGGTGAATATACCGAAGAAAAGCCGCATTTGTCGCACGATAGATAGCTTTATACCGAGCTGCCATGCGGAACCAATTTATTTGCTAAACTTCTCGTCCTTTTTCTTCATCACTAATCCCTCCTCCTATTTTCGAGCCCTACTCATAGTAAGTGATCAAATATTTACACTTTGGTTGTGTCTCTCTTCAATAACTGTGGCACTTATTCACGGTCTTTAAGATCGGATTAACTCTAGAACGATTAAGCTCAAAACTATGTCCATTTCCTATATATATATAGATGTAATATTCTCTTGGCACGCTAGTCTACTAACGATTACACTCATTTTATATTTAAAAGCAGCTCTACTCTTAGATAGTAGTAGTTAGGCAACTCATGCCGCCATTACCACATGTACCAGAACACGCTGCAGTTCCGTAAGGTCACTATCAACTTGCCAATTTTCCAAGCTCACTGAGTGCGTTCGCTCTTGCATAAGTCTACTGAAACCCAAGCCCTGGCTCGCGGGCTATCGGGTGAACCGAGGCTGCAATTGTGACTAAAGGTGTTTAGCTGCAGTAGTAGCGCGCCTCACTAACCTCTTTGCGCCATAGGATTCGCCTCTACCCTTGCGGTTTGCTTTAATTGCCACCAATGTGGCATGTAGCAGGGCAAGCTAAACATACAAGGACGCTTCGCGCGGAACAGGATGTCGAATTGGGGTTTAAGAGCGCGAGCTCGCTGTTTGGTTTTAAAGTTCTCACCATATATGTCCACGCTCATTCTAGGAAGCGCAGGAAAGACCAGAGACACTTTGGGCGAGCTTGCCAGTGGCCGATAGTAGAAGCGGTTCTCTATTGAGCTATCTATAATCCACGATGGCGGACTTGCAAAGTACTGTACGATGTTGATCGTTCCTTAACCCACGCAGCAAATGCAGCAAACAAGGCTGAGCTAACATATTCATCTACAGCCCATAGAGTCCCCATACCATACAACAACCCTGCCAGAATCGTTCCATAAGTCGCACGATTCCGCTCACGCCTATCCTGAAGTATATCACCCGCCGCAGACGTATGAGGACTTCCCTGAACCACTTCCTGATGGCCGATACATGTCACCCCGCAAACCAGTATACGAAGCGGATCCAGATCCAGATTTATCCAAGAGAGAGAATGACCCGAACGCAGTGCCTGACAAAGAGATTGAAACCCGCCAAATTTGTGGTTTGCGTAGGAAGGTATTTTTCATCGTGCTAGCAGTCGTCCTGCTCGTGGCTGCCATCGTCGGAGGTGTTGTCGGCGGCGTACTAGGAACACGTCACAACTCTGTACGCCATTTGTCTCTTTGATGGAAATTGTATATCTGCTGACTCTCAGTGCCACAGAGTTCATCAACTGACCAAAATGCGGCCAGCCCAGGTGATTCGTCTTTGGTCTCGCCAAGCTCGAGTGCTTCATCTGCAGCGCCGTCGAGCACAAGCGGCGTCAATGGGACGCCAGAGACCAACACAACGGTTGCAGCGCCGAGCCCGATACGTGCAATTGCAGTCGCGGAAGCTGAGGTGACCATGTTCAAGGTGTGGCAGACAACCGATAAGAATATCCATATGGCTGGCTACTACAATGTGCCAGCGCTCTCTGCGGATGCTTTCGAACTAAATTTGGATTTCCCTGCAGTCAATAATACGCCAATTGCTGCTCTGACGTGGAAATATAACGATTATTTTGTGAGACTCATACCATGGTACGCCAAAAATGTCCAAGATACTAACGATGCTACGGCAGGAAATCAGAATCCAATACACTGCAGAGGGACAGAGTAGTCTCGGTAGTCTCAACTTCCGATGCTATGAGAACGGCACTTTGTGTACTGAACCTTTGAACGGTCTGAACAGTGCAATTCCAGCGCCCATCGTGGGAGCAGGTGTAGCACTTGTGACTCCCGAACTCAACCATCTGCGCTCATACTATATCGGTAGCGATGGCTTAGTCCTAGAGGCTAAGTACACCCCCGAACCGGGGTGGGTATCTCCTATACCTATCAGCAATGGGGCAAAGGCTCACATTGCGTCACCTCTTGGTGTGACCATGGTCAAAGATGAGATATGGCTCTTTTGGTTCTCTAATCAGAAGCAATTGCAGTATGCTACTTCGACCTACACGGGCTCAACGTGGTCAGTAGGTAAGTGCTTTGACTCGCGTTTCCGATTCTCGTTTGTATCCCCCTTACGAACTGCATCAAATAGTGCAAAACATTTCCGCAACCATCCCAGAAGAGCTGCCTCGCTCTATTGGCGTAGTACGCTCTGATGCACCTGATGTCACACAAGTCTTCTATCTCGATGGCACCGAAATGCAACAGGTGCAATACTCGAACAACGTGTGGTCGATCAGCGCTCTCGGTTCATCAATGCCTAGCTCAAGTATATCCAATGGACCACTGGGAGCCGCAGGTTGGGATAATACTGCCACGCGGCTGTATTTTGTCATTGACGGCAGTATCCAATCAGTCGCTTCCGAGTCTGTCTATGGGCAATGGCAACTTGGCACCAAACCGCTTGATTATTATGGAACTAACTAACGAAACGATGCTAAATTCAAAGACAACCTTTACCAAGAAGAGTTTGGAAACCATTTCTGAGGGCCGCAGAATGGTTCTCCTGGGTCTCACAACGAATGTTCGACCGCAGCCCACCTTCGCAAGATAATTCTTCTCCCTTTGCCGTACGATATCGTCATCGCGGGAAGGCCCCAAGCGCCACCCTTGAGACTTGAATTTTGGGAGCCGATGTGGTTAACGTTTGCTGACCTGTCGAAGATCTGAAGAACACTCCGTGTTTATCTTTCTGCCTGCTTACGTCAAAGGAAACGGGAACTTTAAACACAAAATCCCGAAATGATAGATTAATAGGATTTCCTCATTGCGTTTGAGGAAATATGGTAGTCCATCGCCAAGACCAACGAGTGATATCACATGAACCGCCCTCCATTTTCCAGTAGTGCCTCTCCGCCACCAGGATGTGCCACAGTCTTCCATGTTTTATCAAGGCTGCGTGGTTGGCCTTTCCACCCATTCTCTTGTCCCGGGCTTTCCCCCAACAACCCTTCGCGTGGTTTTAGGGCCGTTGTTGCGCTCTGGGTAGTGATATCTAAAAGCTTAAAAGCTCGCTGCCTCTATTTACATGTCGGGAGTGGATGACGTGGTAAAGGAGGCTCTAGTTTCTAGTATCTATGTGGGTGTAAACCCCGATATTTATACCTTTTGCGTTCAGTTCTTGTTTTATCGATCCAAGATCTTTCGTTAATCTGTGCTATCTTGAAGTATGTATATTGGCAGCTTTAGGCAGCTTTACGCAGTAATTATGTAGTGGCGTAGGAGCATATGGCTATGAAAAGGAGTGGAAAGTGTTAATAGGGATCGTCGTCGTTGATCTGTAGATATTAAGGAAAGTTTAGTGTCTTAGTGTAGTTCGAGTAATACAGTGGAGTATACGTAATTAGGGTGGAGAGTAGACGATATTTACGCAACTTGGCCCAATATTAACCTTAAATCCTAGCGGTAAGGAACACGGCACGTTCTGAAAATGTTGACCTCTGCGATCATAGTAATGCACCGTGATATATTAGCTGCGGTCTGATCTGCTCGTGTGAGGATCAGTTCTTCTGTGCGTTAGCGTTAGCCCCCAAATGATACTAAATGTCTTTAGCATTACACGATGACCGCGCGAACAGCGTCTCTTAGCTACTTCGTAGTGTGCCGAGCTGCTTCACGCTCCTCTGCTGTATGTCACTTTGCGGTATACTACTCCGCGTCATGCCGAGCTGCTTCACGCCGAGCTGCTTCACGCTGAGCTGCTTCACGCTGAGCTGCTTCACGCTCCTCTGCTGTATGCCACTTCGCGGTATCCTACCACCCTCTGCTTCATACTACTTTGCCTCACGACCCTTTGCATCAGGTACGTCTATGTTATAATTGCTTAAGTTCTCAGTTGCGCCGTTACCCATGTGGTCGACCTCGAATTGGCATCCTTTTCGACATTTTGGTAAACAACCACTAAAGGAGAGACCATACGATCTATAGCTCCCGTCGCTTTTAGTTAGCAGTGACTCGGAGCCAAAGCCACCAGAGCACAATATCGGGAGGGAGCGTAAACTCTTCGCGTTGCTCCTTCAATTGCTTCTCTACCAACGCACAAATCTCTAAAGTTCTTGGATACCGGTACTAAACGGGGTCTCGACTTAGCATTCCTCACGACATCTAACTTAATGTTCTTGTCATCTCTCGCGATCCACATCCTTTAGTGCCTTATTCACTATAGGCGATGATTACGATAATCGTTCACTACTTCCTATATTAGAGGTAAATTCCTCTATTAAGATGCACTCGGCTGGAGGAGTACTAACTTAATCTTAGTAATTACCTAAGGGACGGGGCTATTATCATCGAGCGGATACCCGGCTATTCCTACTATATCGTAGTCTATAGAGGAGGTTATATAGAAAATTATTTCGGTAGTCTTCGATTATCCGCGCTCTACCGAAACGGCCTATAAAAGCGTATATTCGTCTTTCGGAGGTAATAGGGGAGCTATAAGAATATAAGTAACTTAACGAAAACACTAAGATAATCGATTAATTACTATATAGTCCTTAGAACATCGACTATAAGAACTTAAGGAGTCTAAAAGCCTCGTATACGATTCGTATAGCCCCTAAGGTCTTATATACTATACCCCTTAGTATCTTAGTATTAGCCTTAGTATAGAATAGGTACTCCTAGAGTCTACCGTAGTCCTATCTCGTAATAATTACTCTCCTCTCCTAAAGTATACTCGTCCTCGAGTATAGAAGTAGTAGGTAAAAAGTAGCGTCCTAGTATAGCGCTATATATATTTTATATTAATATTAAAGAAAACGTAATATATTTTCCTAATCTTAGGGTCGCTCCTAATCCTAAATTATTCTACTCTTAGGGATTATTTCGTATTTACTTTAGTTTATCTAATTCTAGCGAAACTTCGCGTACTTCTCGTACCCTAGTATAGTATATATAGTAAGCTATATCTATAAGGCTAAACTTTTTAATTATTTAGTCTTCGCTATTTAATCTTCGTTAAGGTCTTAGCGATTAGTCTCTAGGTAAGGAGTATATTAACCTTCTTCTACTCTATCTTTCTTCTTTTTTTTATATTTCTTATTCCTTAAGACTCTCCCTTTTCCTTAGTAAGTTCTATAGTTAGTCCTCTACTTTTTACCTACTAATAATATACTAGCTACTTATCTTCTTATCTCTATCTAGAATTTCTATATAATAATAATAATATTATCTATTAACGTCTATTTTAGATCTCCTTACAAGACTACATAGACGATTTACCTTATATAGGAAAAGGCTCTTTCTTTCGTAGAGTAAAACCTAGGGCTCGCATCGCTAGAAGTATACGTCTTATACGCTTTCCGCCTCCTTATCGCTATCGTTAATTATATAACCTTTTACCTATAATCTAGAGAAGTTTTACTTATTCTTTTCCTTCCTCCTTCTTTCTATTACTACTCGTAATCCTTAAAGAGTACGAATATCCCTATATTCTCCTCTTCTACCTCCTTTACTACTCGGAATTACTCGAGGACTTCGCTCGTAATAAACTAGTATACCGTATACGTCGCGCTTACGAGCCGCGAGAGGATCTTATCGAGTCTCTCTATACTATTATAAGAGTATAAGTAACTTAACGAAAATACTAAGATAATCGATTAATTACTATATAGTCCTTAGAACATCGACTATAAGAACTTAAGGAGTCTAAAAACTTCGTATACGATCCGTATAGCCCCTAAGGTCTTATATACCGTGCCTCGTAGTATTTTAGGACTAGTCTTAGTATAGAATGGGTACTTCTAGGGTCTTCTAGGGTTCACCGTAGTTCTATCCCGTAATAACTATATTATAGTAGAAGTTATATTCTATTATATCGTAGATAATATAAAAGGATATATTAAGACTAAGCGATACCCTATTAACGCCTAGTTACGTAATTAGGCTTATATAAGCTAGGATCACGTAGTATCTATTTAGTAAGGCTATACTTAAGCCTTACGGAAGATTCTATAAAACGCCATTCTATTCTATAGGATTAGAAATTACTTAACTTAATTTCTAAGTATCCTAGGAGTTAACTCGTATTTACGAATACTCGGTAATTACTCTCGTACTTAGGAGATATTATAACGGAGCCTACGCCTATATAAAAGAGGCCTATACTCCTTTACTTAGATAGATCTTAAGTTATTTAATAAGATAGAAAGCGACTATATATTCTACTCCTTCTTTCTACGGTCTTCGGCTACTTCTACTATAGATCCTAAACCTTATCTCCCGAATATAGGATAAATATTTAACGTAGCTAGGCTAATCTAATATTATTTAAGGTCTATCTATTAGGTAAAACCGTATAGAAGTAGTTAGGAATATTAGGGTCGGTAAACTAGGTCGTTTAAAGCGCTTTTCCTTTAAATATAACGAGATATTATAGTTATTACGAATTAAATTCGTATAAAGCTCTAGAATACGCCCTAGAGCGATTACTCGTAGTATACCTTTAGGCTATATAACTATATAGCCGAAGCTATATAATTCCTCTCTATCGATTATCTCCTAGGAAACGATACTAACCTACTATAGGAGAGGCTAGGAAGTATTTCCTTTATTCGTATAGTAGATAGATTTTCTCTTTTCTTTTCTCTCCTTAGCTTTAGAATCCTCGTTATACGATAGTTAGACGAATTACTCTAAATTCCTAGCTAAATCTTTATATTATTTTAAAGCTTACTATCGTATATAGCGAAAGAGTATCGCGTATAAAATAGATAATAATTAGTAACTAACGAAAACCGCTTTAGTATAGGCGGTAGAGCTATACTAGCTCTTATAGGCTTAAAATTAAAGAATAATAGTACTCGAGAATTAACTCGACTAATAGAATAGAGTACGAGTTCGTACGCTTAAAGTAATAACTTCTACGACGGCGAGCGCTATATAGAAATTCGATTCTATACGACGAAAGGCTAAGTTCTCTAAGCTAGCTAAATTTAATAGAAAAAGATTAGAGTTTCGGTCGTAGCTTACTTAAGCTCGAGCTAAGTTAGTAGTTAATAAATAAGAAGAAATCGAAGTTATACGATTTTAGTATTTCTATAGTAGACTAAGAGACTACGCCCTTACTTAAGTTAATTCGTAAGTTAACTTCGTATAATTAACTCTCGAAATAAATACGAAAGAATTTATTAATTAATTAAAGGCGGCGTACGAAGATATTAATATTATAGAAAGAGTATTACGAAAGCTTTCTTAACTAAAATAGAACGAAAAGTCCTTTAGCGTATTTTTCGTCGAGTTTAATTATATACTACTCGAGGCCGACGGACTAAACTAGGCCGACTCGATAAAGAAGATATTTATATTAAACTATCTTTCGTACGACTTAAAGAGCGCCCTCGTTATAACGTTAATTCTATTAATCTATAGAAAGTACTATATTCTTTTCTATACGATTAATATAAATCTAAAGGCTCTTTAGTAGA